GCGCAGGGTCAGGGGTGATCTGATGGCCACTTATAAGTTTAACAGGGGTGACCACCAGTATCTGGGGGAACATTTGTTCACCAGAGCGCCCCAAGCGATGATGAGGTCGAACGGTTATAAACTACTGCATGACCGTTTCAAGCTGGACATAAGGAAGAATTTCTTTACTGTCCGAGCCCCCAAGGTCTGGAACAGCCTGCCATCGGAGGTGGTTCAAGCACCTACATTGAACACCTTCAAGAGTAAATTGGATGCTTATCTTGCTGGGATCCTATGACCCCAGCTGACTTCCTGCCCTTCAGGCGGGGGGCTGGACTCAATGAACTTCCGAGATCCCTTCCAGCCCTAATATCTATGAAATCTATGAAATTACTAATGTATTTTAAAATATTAAGGACTCCTAAATATTTCATTCACTATATTTACTGAACATAGAGGACTTCATACAAGTTCAGATGAGCTCATCTAGTAAATTCTAAATGATCAACCTCTGAGAAGTGCAAGGTCAAAGAATTCAACTGCAGACATGTTTTCTATGGACTGTACACATCATGCTGCACAACTAGTAGGTTGTTCATATAACAAACGTTGGTGATCAAAGGGTTAGATTGGCTAAGAAATTAACCATCTGATTTGTTATAAATTTTTATTTTAGAAATTTTGAAGTGTAGTTTAGCAACAGCATTTTAAAGTTCCTTCTATTCAGAACCTTACCACTGCGGTCAGCTGCACCCCCTCTCATGATCCTTGCTACGATCACAGCCCCAGAGTGCTCATCCCTTCTGATGGTTGCTCCCTGCAACATAACAAAAACTGTAAAGCACTTATGTCGAACATGGGGTAATACTGGTGAGGTAATAACAAGTCTGATAAGCTTTTGACAATGGAATTTGTTCTTTTCCATGGGGAACATACTGAACAAGCTGTATCTTTCTCTTTGACCAATTTCATCAACAATCTGACCTCTGTGTTTGCACTGCTTGGTGAGACTACAGGATGGGGCTGTATGTCTGCAGTTTCTTCACTCAGTTGTCCATCTAGATCAATGATTCTCAACCAGAATGCCACAGCACCCTGGGATGCGTTAAGATCTTTTCAAGAGTATCACACAATATTAGCACTGTTAAGTGTGCAAATATGATTCACAAGATAAACCCAGAGGTTTAAAACTATGATTTCCTATTTGAAAACCATTCTGACCTGTTGTGGCCTGAGGTCTTTGCAACAGAAGAATTGCTATATAATTTTTTTGCAGTCAAAATAAGTAAAAACCTAGAGTTTATATTTTCTGTGGGGTGCCTCGAGCCTTAAAAGGCTGGAAACCACTGAACCAGATATTCACGTGGCCTCCGTCACACTGGCATCCAAAAGCTTCACTAGTGTTTGAAAACAGAAATTCCTTTAACAAGCTTTTTACATGCGCAGCCTGAGCCTCTCTGCTCTATATACAATGAGATAAGCATCTGAACTAGGAAGCCTTCTCTTAGGACTACTGATAATACAGTAATTTGATCTGGAATAGAGTTGTTTAACTCAGCAGGAGAAGAAACAGGGGTATAGGTTATAGCCATGTTGGTCTAATGACACAGGCAGACAAGGCTATGACAAGGGCAAGACAAGGACACAGGCTTCCTCAACCTGATGGAAGGTATTTATACCCAAAATCTTGTTAAGAAGATTTACCCAAAGAACCTTGTCTGCAGTAGAGGAAAAAAATTTATGCTTTTAATGTCCTTCACCACAACCGCTTGCTTTATTTCTCGCTAGAGGAAGAAGAAAAGGTTTTCATTCAGTACAAAACTTCTCACAGTATTTACCTGATCAAACTGTGTGTGGACAGAATTCAGCACTACATCCTACATCCTTGACTTCAATTCAGGAAAGGATTTTTTTCTCCATCATTTAGTCACTTTTAAACGATCAGAAAAAGATTACATGCACGTTCACTCTACTTTCAAAAACTATAAGCCATAGCCAGGGATAGATCCAGAGATTTGCAGAAGTGCAGTCACACCCTGCGTCAGCTGTGTGGTGCATATGTAGTGAACTCTCTGAGCTCACTGGCATGTCACTGTAGCTTTTGCCAGAGCTTCGCATATGCTGTGAGGCCTCTGAGCACACCACCTGATCCGTGAAGGCTCTGGCTGGAGTCCCTGCTTTCACACAGCTCTGAGCCCAGGGCGTAAGTAGTGTTCCTGCTCATCCCTTCTTTCCCCTTGCTGCTGAATTCAAAGCTACATGAAGGCAGGGGTTCAGTCAGAGGTTGTAGATCAGCTGATAAGCTCAAACAGCTCACAGTACATACAGTGCTCCATTAGGAGCTATGCTGACATGCAAGTGAGCGTTACATAGCCAATTATCAATTATTTGGATGGGGGAGTGAAAAAACTTGCTGGCCAAGTTTGCAGATGACATCAAGTTATGGGGTAGTGTGGTCACGTCAGAAGACAGGATGCAGATACAGATGGACCTGGGCTGGCTTGAAAGCTGGGCAGAGCAGAACCAGATGAAGTTTAATACTTCCAAGTGTAACTTGCTCCATGTGGGAGCAAACAACCCTCAACATACATACAGGCTCAGTGGTGACAGCTTGACTTGCACCATGGCTGAAAGGGACCTAGGGGTAATGATTGACTATCGCATGAACATGAGCCATCAGTGCGATGCAGTGGTCATCAGGGCAAATAACATGCTGGAATACATCAGCTGAAAAACTCCTTCATAGTCAGGGTGTCCAGACTGTGGAATAAACATCCTCCAGAGGCGGTGCAGTCACCTACCCTGGTGGTTTTCAAAAGGAGACTGGACAGTCACCTTGTTGGGGTCACATGACCCCAGTTGTCTTCCTGCCTAGAGCTGGGGGGCTGGACCCAATGATCTGTGAGGTCCCTTCCAGCCCCTAACAATCTTATGAATCTATGAAGGGCTGTGGTCACACCCCACTTGACCTGATCCTGGATTTGCCCATGGCCATAGATGATTCATTTGTAATGTTTTTCACTCAGATAAAGTGTTCACTGCATGGTATAAATTATGTTTAATCAACTGACTCATGCACATCAGTGACTAGATATTTACTAAGATTTGCTTTATTTGCTTATTATTATTTACTACTGTTTATTTGTTATAATGCAGTTAGTTTCTAGGCATCTTCTCTGTAATTCCTCCTAAAATTCTCACACTTCACAATTTTATGAGAAAAGGTAGTTTGATTTACTGATATTAACCTCCGCCAAAAAGAGATCAGAGCATCAATCTGCTAGCAGATGATATCAAAGCACACAATCTAATCCATTGACGAGGGTAGTCCTGGCTTGGAGGTGGCAGCTCCCATGGACAAGTTAACAAGAAATGCTATGCTTACAATGATATAAGGAGTTACCTGATAATCAGGTCTTCAGACAACTTTGGTATTTGTTTCTGTTTTACCAGTTTCGTGATTTACAGAAACCTGCAATATGTTCCCCCAGGTAGCATCACTGCCAAATATGAGCAATGTGCTGCCCCTTTGCAAGGAAGTGAGGGATACCTAGCACATAGGATCATAAAATGATACAAAAGTAGGGCTGGAAGGGACCTTGGGAGGTCATTTAATCCAGCCTCCTGCTCAAGGAAGGATCATCCCTGATTAAACCACTGTAGTATGACCCTACTAATGGACAGGAAGAATATGTTCTGCTTTATTGTACAAAAGATGTTTTGCATTATTGTGCTTTGCAAAACATCTATATAGTGCCAAAGGGGTGTTAGCCACAGACACTCTGGCTCCACTCATGACTTCGCTGGCCTGCATTTCCACTCTCTTTTCTAGCTTCTACTGCTCAATCCATTTGCTAGGTTCACAGGCCCTGCACTTGCATAAACAAAGTGAAGCAAGCAAGCATAAGCATGGCTTTCTATTCAATAAATTCTCAAGCTCAGTAGCAAAGAAACGCTCCATTCTCTGGAGCACTTCTAAAGGCCCTGCAGCTCAACCTTCTTTCTGCCAAATTCCCCTGAAGTGGCAGAAGTAACAAAGAAGCTTCCTAAACATTAAATTCCTTATTAAAAAAATCTTTAAATTACTCTGAAAGATTTGGAAGCTTACAGGCTTTTTGATTTCGGTTTTAAGGAAGATTGACAATTTCTCTTGGACAAAATTTACATAACTTCTAGAGGTTTAGGTACAGTGGAAGAATTAAGGGTTTACTATTTTTAATGTCAAGGATTTGACCTGAAGTGTCTGATGTATAGATAAGCCCAACTCTTCTCCTTCGTTCTGTTACTCCAGCCACTTCATTCAAGAACACATCCTGAGACTTATTCCTCTCTCACAAAGGGTCAGACCACTTTTGGATGAAGGAATGGCTATTTTTAACATACCAACGGCTCTTTATTCTTTACTAGACGAACAATTTTCACAGATTCTTCATCAAAGTCATCTTCAGTATTATCTGGCAGAGGTGGAAGGACTGGGTCAAAATTCTTCTGTGCAACTGTGTCATGTACAACAAGCATTGCCTGTTCAAAAAGGAAATAAAAAAAAAGAAGAAAGTTTAAAATACTTCAGGAAAGACTGGGGAGAATCTCTCATTCCCAACTTTACAGCCAGTACAAAAAGCTTCTCATTTGGTGAAAAATCAATAGCAAGTTTTCTTGTAAGCATAATTTGTTACTTTCTTGGCAAAAGTTTGCAGCAAACTTCATGAGCTTATGCTTTACCTATATTAGTCAAAAAGGAAGCTAATCATCCAGTTTGCTTTTTAAAAAGTCACCTATGTTACTAAAGAAATTAAATGTTTCTTTTTCTGTAATCTTCAAGGCCTGGATCCTGGACCTTTCAAAAGTAACAGAAGTTGTATTGTTGTCAGCATTAAGAACAGGATCATGAGCTAACTGGGTATGGCAAACAAGTTACTTGTAAAAAAAAGTAAGTACCCTTTCAAGCCACTCTTTTTTAAATTAGTATACTTACTTGAATCCAAGACAAGATCCTCCTCTCTGCCCCCCAGTCAACACAAGTTGGAAAAAAGCCTCATCACTGATTTGAGTACCAGCCTGGGGCTGAAGCTGGAACTTAGCCACCGCCTACCCTGAGCGAGGGTGACTTGTATGCCGAAGGAGGGGCATATGGCAAGGGAAGTACGGGGGAGACATGCTGTTGGAGTGTGGGGGTTGGCACATGCAGGGGAGACCCACAATATGTGGCTGGGAGGGGGGAGCATGGGGGAGACCAGTTTTCAGTTTTCACAAAATCATAGACGATAGATAAGATAGTTTAATTGCTTCATCTACTCAAGATCAAATGCACAGAAATAAAGAGTTGTTGCTTACAGATATCCACAAGATCCACCAGTCAAGAACATTAGAAAGTTAAAGCCAAGTTTGACATGGAACACTAAGTAAGATGGTTGCCTGGGCATGTTATTTGCTCAGTATCGTGCCCCACTAGGTAGCTAAGATTATGCCTGTAGCAGTGGTCATTTGATAGTCACTAACTGTTTCTTCTGGGCTCTCTCCACTCCACTACTCATTGATTTATTGCTGCCACACTATGATGTTACTAATACGAACAGAGAGAGGGATTGCACAATTAACAGGTTAGACTGATGTAAGTCCTTGGGGTAAATTTCTCCTCCTCCCCTACACACTGGTGTCCATCACTCACCCAAATGGCATTCTTGAGCCTTACTGATTGATCCCAAGGGGTTATTTCCCACAACTCCCCTTTCCGCTCCATCTCTTGGCCTTTCACCAGATTCGGCCCTGGTCAAATCCATAATCAATGAGATTGTACGTACAAATTTAACTTAAATTGGCAAGTAAGGTGGCCTTTCCTACACCTGACAGATATTTCTTCCTGTTTCAGTGTCAATAAACATCAGGTCATCTCATATCTCGGACCACACTCCACTAGATCAACTTCCCAGCTCCTGATCTATCCATCATTTAG